TTTATACTTTTTGATATTTTTTTTATTTTTAAATGTCATGTCCCTTCATTAAAGATCTAGATAATCATGGCTCTCCACCGACTTTTTTTCTTTATTATCTGTGAATTGCTATGAATTCTTGGGAAAAATAATTGAGTTGTGATTATTGTTCCATGCACTTTCATCCAATTCATAAGCTATTTTCATTAGGTTCCTTGTTAGTATTCTGTGTTTATGTTCTAAGTTGTATTGGGTAATAGTAATAGTAGTAGTAATTCTAAGTTATGCTAGATGGTAATATTAGTAATTTCAGGTTGAGGTGCCTTTAAAACAATGTCAACATGTTTCGTTCAGTTTCAAAGAATGTAAAATTGAGGCTTGGCCTAAACTGCTCTATATAAAGTGTTTCTATTGTCTTTAAACGTTTCTTTACAATTAGATGTTCTCAAAATGATAGTTATCTACAAGGATTTTTCTTAATGGAAGCAGGAAGTTGTGTATGAGTATTTAAGTGTTTCCTTATTTAACTAAGGACACTTAAGTGGCTAATCAGTCTATGACTCAATAACATCATCTGGCTAATGTAGAAGTTGGAATTGTCTGTTTGTTACAAGAATCACACTATTGTATAGAACAACAAAATAGATAAGCTAACTTGTTGGTCTGAAGTTTGGATTTCATAGGTATGTTGTTATTGGTAAGTATGCAGCTAGCAGTTATTAGTTTTCTATAGTATATTCTAAGTTTTACATACTCAGTTCCAATAATGAAAATGATAAAAACAGAAAAAAAATTAATTAAAAAAAAAAAAAAAAAATTAATTTTTCCTTATCTGTCACAGTCAAGGAAATATCTATCTATATATATATATATATATATATATATATATATATATAGTGTATGTCTGTGTGTGTGTGTGTGTGTGGCCCGAGGGCTGCTGGCACCCCCAGGCAAACTGAATTTCAGCACCCTTACAAGTATAATTTAAAAAATTTTTCACAATGAGAAAAACTGAAAAATGTAGACTAACAAGTTTATTCCAATATACAACTTAATACAAGCTAAAGAAAACATCCATTATCCTCCGACCTAAAACATTTTTTTCCTGGCCTTTAGATCTGCAAATCTTTTCATGGCACTTTCTATACCTATCTTTTTTACAAGATTATTTTCTATTAACAAAACAGCCAAAGAATTTAATCTGTCTTGAGTCGTGGGTGGCCACGAGTATGTTTTTATAAGCTTTACTTTTGGAAGATCCCAAACGCATAACATGCCAGCACACCAGGTGTCTGCCTGAGTTGCACAACACACACACACACACACACACAGCTCACAGAGCTTGCCCTGTGTGTGTGTGTGTGTGTGTGTGTGTGTGTGTGTGTGTGCGCTTTGAAGGAGTACTGAAGACCTGTGACAAGTAAAAAGAATTTTATTAATCTTTCTTTTTATATATATATATATATATATATATATATATATATATATATATATATATATTTGTTGTGGAGAAGGTGAATGAAATTAAGTTTCTAGGCAAGTGCATTGTAGAGGATCTCTTCAGAACTTTCAATACAATCACATTAGTCAAGAAAGTTCAGTGTTATAGACAGTTTTAAATTTAGATTTGTCCTTCTCCTATACTGATTCCTAAACAATGCTAGACAGTCTAATCTGCCCTACTATTTAACTTATAGCTGGGTGGAGAGAATAGATTGATTCATACCTTTCGAAAAGGTATTTGTGTAAAAGTGAACTGAACAAACTTGACCAGAATTCCAACCTCGTTTGCTAATTTCCCATTCTAAGCAGCAAACCATTACACCCCTTGCACATCCTTAAATCTTAACTTTTTATTATTCCTTTTCACCTATTGATGGCTTCAACTGATCACTCTTCATTTTTCCCCCAATCAAAACCTCAGCACATCTGAGCCACAGTATTATATTTTTAATCTAACTACTGGCTTCATTATTTTAAAAGATCTTACCAATTCCCTACATTTTACACACTGTTTAATTCTTCACAATTTTTAAACCAAGTTAAAGCATTTCATATATTCTTGTTTTAAAGTGAAAGAGAAGTTATCACTGATGCCATTCACCATGAAGCCTGGACAAGAGACCATTTTATGCAGCCCAGTGATCTAACTACAAATATATCTGGTACCAAAACAGGGATACTTGACATAGAGTTAATAAACTGGTCTTGCTCAATCGTTAACAGTTGAGTGAAACTGATCTTTACTCAACGTTTCACCATTGCAGGCAAACATCAAATTAAATTATGAAACATCTTTCAACGATTAAAGTAAAAATCTGTAAAAAAAAAAAAAATAATGATACATACGTTCTTCAAAAATAATTCCAGGTCCACGTAAAACTATTGACAAGTAGATTACCTGCAAAAGAAGAAAGGAATATTTTTGATTAAAGAAATTTGGTGAACAGAAATTATGATTTTGCTGAAGAGTGAATGCCTATATAATTGTATATTTGGTTGATGAAAAGGTTTCTGGCATTTTTGACAGTTTTATTTGTATAAAATTCAGAGCATTGTTTTTCGGACATCAAAGTTTAGTTTTTCTGGCTTCAAATGATTAATTTTACTTTTCAAGTATAAATTGTGTATTCCATCACAAAAGAATCAGTTTTAATTTATTTTATTAGAAGTGGTTTTGCAGTGAACAAAAAAACTGACAGTATGAAACTTGTCTGGAAAATATGTTGCATGTAGAAGAATTTCCTATCCCATGATCCTTTATGTCACATTTGAAACAAGGAGTATTGTTATTCAGCAAAGATACAAATATAATTTACATCACCAATGGACTTCATTTAAAAAAAAAAACAACAACAAAAAACAAAAACAGTTTCTTTTTCATTTCTAATATTTTATTCAAAAGAACCAATTGCTTAGTGTAGTTTTGCACAGTAATAGTTTGTCCAATTTCCTGCAATTCAGAATAAAGTTTTCCCTTTGAATTGCATATAGAGAAATATGTTCCTCTAATACAAAGTTTCTCAACTGTTTTAAGCAATGGCACACCTAGGTGCAAATGAAAATATCACAGCAGACTTAGCAACATTTTTAAAGGGTGTACATTTAAATGTTATAAAATAAAACCATAGATTTTTAAAAAATTACACACACAAATATAAACATATTTTTATTTCAATGATTCTATTCAACTATTTGTGCAGCTTATTTAGTGTGAAACTTGTGCCTGGTGTTTTTTTGTAATTTCTTCAATGTTTGGTCAAATGTGCAATATGCAGATCCTCATTTCTTCTTCAGTTGAGTGTAATCTTTTTTGCTTCTTATTTTTGATGTTATTTAGAGTTGAGAAGCCTAATCCACATAAATAAAAAGTAGAAAATTGCAATTAAACTGATAAAGCCTTTTTAGCTAATGTGGGACAAAAAGTTTAATAGTTATTTATTCAAACACTAAAACTGTACCATTACTACTCACACACACAGCACTTATTTTGATCCAGACAAAATACTCATAATAGGAAGAAATTCAATTTTCTGGAAACCTGTAAAAACCATTTAGACCAGAACAATTTCAAGATCTTGGAGAATGGAATCCTCAAACTACTTCAAACCCCCAACATATATATATATATATATATATATATATGCCATGGCAGTATTTCACAACACACTAGTGTGCCACAACGTGGTGGTTGAGGATCACTATTATAACAGAATCATCTAGATGGAGATATTAAAATAAGTCCTGGATTTACCTGCAATTTTCTTCATTTTCAAATTCTTGTAATGAGTCCATTTTTCATCATTTATCTAAAAATAACCGTTTTACACACACACACACACACAAAAAAAAAAGAAAGTGGAATCTATTTTCTTCCCTTCTGAATTTTTAAATGTAAATGTTGTACCCAATCGATTGATTACATGGGCAATAAAGTGTTGAGGAAATTTTGCATATTTTTCTGAATTCGAATAAAAAAAAAAATTAAACTTTTGCACCAACAATAACTTCAAAGTTTTCAAGTCTGTGAGAATTTTACTATTGTCAGTCACTTTAGTTGAATTTAAGATATATAACTTTAATCAAATTTCCAGCAAAAATTCACACAAAGATTTTCCTGGGATAAACTTGTGTATGAAAATATATTTTAAGTTAAATAAAAAGAATTCAGGTATTTATAAATGGTCAACTTCTATGAAGTTCAGAGACAGGACTGTAGTGAGATATGCAAAATTGACTTACCCTGTTTTTCATAAAATTAAATGACTACAAATAAGTCAATCAACAAAGGGAACAATTACTACTATGTTACAGACTGGAAGACAACATAACATGGCATCACCAATAGGATCTCTAACACCAGTGAATGAATTGGATATTGTAGAAACATAAATTTGTTGGTTTGCAGCTCAGACAAGAAACAAGAATTTAAAAGAACAATGTTGCAGGAAGGGAGAATGAGATAACAGATCTCTTTTTGACTTCAGGAAGCTGTGAGGTCATTAGAAAGAACTCTATCATGGCATATTCTAAAGAATTAGAGGATTTTCAGAAATTTTGGATGTTATTAAAAAAAAGAAAAAAAAGAAATTGCAACCTCTGTTATTGCAGAGGGAACAAAGTTTCTTACAAGAAAATAATAATAGAAGAAAATGATAATACAGTAGAAACATAAGTTATGAGAGACCTCCAGATTCTGTGAGTTTGAAAAACTTGGCTTGGGAGAAATGACCAGAGAAGATGAGTTAATACAGTTGAAATTAACAAAATGTATGTTTGATAAACATAAAATTTTAAGACAATTACAACGGAGTAAAATGTCCTTAGATGTAGAGTTTCTGCAACAATTAAAATTAATTTATAACTTCAATACATCTAAGAGTAATGCTAAATCATACAGCATATCAAATTACTTTATGCGATGCAAGTACTGCAATAGACAACATGAATGGGACAAGAAAAAATGTCCTGCTTTAGGACAAATATGCTGGAATTGTGAGAAGAAAGATCATTTCCAGTCCATTTGCAAATATAAAAAGAAAATAGAAAGGATGTAAAATTTATCCAAGGAAAATACATATGATACAAAGACCCAAAGAGAAAAGTGCCCAAGAAAAAATTAAATTAAATGGTATGACTTTTCCTATGAAAGTAGATACTGGGGTGATGTCACCCTAATCCCAATAAAATTCTGGGAATGAATGAGCAAAACAAAATTAAAAAAGGGTTATCTAAAACTAAGACAATTTGATGGCTCTTTCATCAGAACATTTTAAGGGAACTTTTAGACCAACAACCACTTTGAAATTATTCCCATAACGATAGTGAAATGTGAAAACTGTCATGAACTTGTAGGAATAGATGTCTTAAAATTTGATACAGCCAAATTAATCAAAGAAGTGACACAGGAATGTTAAAAAGGGTACAAAGGGAGTATTGAATTAAAAGAAAATAGTCACCCCTCTTACGTTGAATCTTGCAGACTGTCCATTTATATTCTACCTGTAATAGGTGCTAAAGTAAAAACGATGATTGAACAAGGAATTTTCGTGCATGTTCCCCCTGGCGGTAGTAATTGGACCTCATCTATTGTCATTTTATGATAACTGGATGGGGATTTAAGGATATGTGGAGATTATAAAAACAACAAGTGCTATTTTTCAGAGAACAATTTAAAATATACTAACTGGTGATGTTAAGAATATGATCATTTATCAAGACAAGATATGCATTGGTCCTTCCAGTAAAGAAGAATTAAAACAAAAAACAGATTATGTTTTAAACAAATTAAAAAATGCTGGAATGACCATAAACAAGGAAAATGTGTATTAAATTACAGTAAATCTACACCCACAAATAAAAAGGAATTAGAATCTTTGTTTAGGGTTAGCCAATTTTTATAGCAGATATTCGCCAAAATATAATGAATGTAAATGGACTCACTGGCAGAACAGCATTTAAAAATTTAAAAAAGCATTTATAAAAAAAAACTGTTGTAAAAATATTTCACCCTAAAAAGGAATTGATTTTAACTATGGATTTAAGTGAGCATGACATAGTAATCAGTAATTTTTTTAATTAAAAATTCTTAAGTGCTTCTTGAAATTGTGAAGGTTTTTTTGTAGCACAACTGTTTTTAAAACTGTTAACATTGGAAAAAAAATTATTTTAAAGTATAAAAATTGAAGTAAATATTAAATGGAAACTCTTCAAATTTTTACTTACTTAAAACAGAAAATTGTTGTGTTTGAAAATACAAAAGTAAGACTGGATACATTTCAGACCTTAAGTAAATCCAGAGAAAACCACTTAATTTGATCATTTTGGATTGACAGGTTTTTTTTAAATAATCAGCTGATAACATTAAGCAAAGAATATAAAATCTGAAACAAATTACATTCAGTGTTTTTAAATCTATTCTTATAAATGACTTTATATTATTAAAAAATAAAACCTGAAACAATGGATGTTGAAAGATTGTATGTTTGTGTGTATTTTATATGGGTGCCTGTTCAATGCGTAAGTGAAGAAGATAGAAGCATATAAAAACCTGAGTTTCTACTATGAACATGTATTCTTTTTATGGTGACGATGGTGAAACAAAGTCCTCAATGTCTCTTGGGTATGTCTGTTTACCATTTTGGTTTGAAAGTAAGTTAGGATAATAATGGTTAAAATGGTTGAGCTCAAGTCAGCTTTGCTCAGAGTTGGAACAACCAATTCACTTTATGAGTAGGGCTACCAAAAACACGTCTGAATGATGTTGTTGAAAAGCGGAAAAGAAAGATTTCATCCTTTCCAGAAGTGGGAGTCATAAAATTGCACTTGCAACCAAAAACCCTTTCTGGTTTGTTTATGACTTGCATCATAAGAAAATGAATTTCTTTTTTTTCTTTTTTATTCTTTATTATTATTTTATTTATTGCTTTATTTCATTTCCCCGACAGAAGTTTGATTATGATAAGCAGATGATTTCTGTTTTTTGTTTTATTTCATTTTAAATAAAGTTCCAGATTTTGATACCAAAGCCATTATTGGTAATAGAATTATCGATGATTGCTTCCTGTTATAAAAGGTCTGCCCTTTATAAATAACTGGTAAGGCAAACTATTCAGATAAGCACAAAAGCAATTAAATATACCTTTGAAGATGTTACATATCAGTAAATATAACACCATTAAAAAAAAAAAAAAAAAAAAATCTAGGAAAAGAAAATATTTGCAATTTAGAGAAGATACTTCTTTGGACAAACCCAGTCAACAAACTAAAACGTATTTCAATCTTCCAGATTGTGGGTGGATCTACTTATTGACACTTGTGATCATCTTATCAAACAGACTTTTGGAGTTAACTGGCTCATGTTTTATGTCTCAAGTCATACCATGAAGTCCAACTGCAAACAAATAATGCATTAAGAGATAATAAACAAATAAAAGAAAAACTGATGTGAAATACCTGAAGAGTGCAGAACATAAAGGCTCCTACTTTTTGCATGACATGAGAAAACCGTAATTCTAAGTACTGTGGAGGGAAAAAAGGAAAAAAAAAAGATTAATTTTTTAAATATTTGAAAAAAAAAAAAAAAAAAAAAAAAAAAAAATCAGTTATTCCATTAACCATTTGGATTAGCATTAACATTTTTGTTGTTCTATGATTTTGAAAAGAATAAGAATTTGAAATTTTATCCAGATGTACTTGCCAAACCGATTAGCTGACCAAATGCATTTGTTTATTACCAAATCTAATACCAATTGGCCACAGAGTAGTACATGCTATTGAATCAACCAAAGCAACATGACTATTTACACACTTCAAAATTACTGATTTATTTTCAAATTTTTTATTGATAAATAATCAAATTCATTTTGTTTAAAAAAATTACCCAAATTCTATAAATTAAATAAAAATTACTTCTACATCACAATACAAGCATAATCCTTATAGAATATATTCTATAAGGATTATAGTATGGGCAAGGGAGTAACATAATGCACAAAATTAATTTAAATTTGAGATACCTTAAAACACTAAAATTGAGAAATAAATTCTGTTTAGGAAGAGTTCATTAAAGCTTAGAAAAAAAATTCTGTTCCTTAACATGAAAATATAATTCATAATCATTCCATTAACAACAAAAATGAGAATATTTTGAAGATGACACTTCCTTTCTTAACTTAAATATATCAATAATACAAGAAATAGCATCATTATTTAATAGGTGGCATTTTAAATTATACTCAAAGTCTTTGATATTACAAGCTTCAGAAAATTCTTTACTGAAAAAAAAAGAAAAGCATTAAAAATTCATTATCAAAACATATGAGTTTAGCATAAAATTATTTATGACAGGAATATACAAAAACATTTTGTTCTAAATTACTTAAATTAATTAAAAAAATATACTCCATATAATTTACCATAATGGTTCCATGTTTGAATGTCTCTCTTACATGAAGACTTTCTTGGCCCATCAAAACCTTACACCCTATTCCTGGACAATTTGGATAAATTTCACTATTTTAGAACAAATTAGCAGTGAATAGAAGCAAATGGCCAGTACATAGTTTATCATATAAACAGCCTTATTTGACTTCTTTTTTTTTTCTAATGAGTAGATGCATGAGTTTTGTCAACTGTTACTTTGGCTTCAATGAGTTAATAAGCAAAATATTTGTTATTTTTATTATAGAAAATGCAGTCATTTATTGTTTATTTATTATATAAACACAATCAATAAAATTTACCACAGAAATGAAAAAGACTGTAAAGTTTTTTATTCTTTTCAATATTACAGAAAACTAATATGAAATTATCCATAAAAACTACATTGAACACTTGAGTAAAATCTTGAAAAGAATTCCTGTTTAGCAGTCATGTCCACAGCTGAGCACCAGGCATCATCAAAATGGCACATTGTTATTATTTTTATCCTTTTAGTGCAATTATCCTGAAGCTATCAACTTAGAATATTTTTATGTGACCCATATATATTTTATTAAATTTTTTAAAACCAATTCTGAGGATAATAACAAGAAATATTTGTTGGTATTTCTTTTAATTTAAGTAACAAAAAAAAAAAAAAGAAAAAAAGAGGCTTTTCTTTTAAAAAGATGCATAATGTGTCTTAGGCATTTATTATCTTTTCTTTCATCCTACTGTGCTATAAGCTCCAGTGGGCTGGCCACATCCGCCACATGGACGACTGTCACCTCCCAAACAGATTGCTCTATGGTAAGCTATCCACAGGCAAGCACTTACTTGGCAGACCAAAGAAAGGTTACAAAGACACACTGAAGGAGTCTCTCAAGCATTGTGGCATTTCCTATTCTACCTGGAAAGAGTCTGCTGAGGACCGTGCCATCTGGCACTCCCTTGTAAAGTTCAGAGTGTCTGATTTTGAAAAGAAAAAAATCAGGGACAAAGAACAGAGACTCCAGAAAAGGAAAGATCGAGAGGGATCCACCTCCCAGTCTGGTTTAGACCCCAGCATCTCATGTCACAACTGCAACAGACTTTTCAGGGCAAAGAGCAGATTCATTAGTCATTTCTGCATGCAACAAAGTGATTCGAAGTCAAGGTCATCTCCTCACATGTGGAGGACGAACATATATCTTTTTTTGTAAATATGTATATATTTCAGGATCCATAAAGCTGGAAGAAACTCTTGTCTAAGACTCAATGGAACCAAGATTTCAAGCAATAGTTCAGTTGCATTCACAAAACCAATTTACTATTTTCAATTCTTGAAAATATTCAAGTGCACAAAGGAAGCATTGGTAACATAAAGTAGGGTACAATCAAATCTATTCAAGACTCAGATTAAGTTTTTGTCTACTTCAATTACTTTAACTTACCAGTATAAAAAAAAAAAAAAAAAAAAAAATATTGAAATTTAGCATAATCTGGCATAAGACCCCAAATAAAGGGTTGTAACACAATAGTAAATCAGTCTTGAGCGCTTTGTGCTTTTTTTTTTAATGATCAGCAGTAAAGTCAGCAAAATAGGATCTTCAAAGCAGCCACCCACTTGACCAAAAGAAATAAATTAAAACTTTTGGGAACAAGTGACACTTGACCAGATGTTAGAAGCTTCTGTTCGTAGACAGCTAAACAATCACAGTTAGGATTGAGGCTAGTTCCAGGCTGCCCATTGGTGGGTGCATGCTGTCTGTCAAGAGAAAGTTGTCAGCCATGCATTATAATGTAGAGATGAGCAGAGAAATGGTAGGAAAGAGAGTTTTCAATGGTTTAAGGGGAAAATCTGATCCATTAGTCTGACATGACAGAAGTAGCAGAAGTTGTCCTAAATGTCACCTACCTACCTTCCAGTCAGACTATGCAAGTGAATCCCTAAATAAACAACCAAATATAATAGAAACAGAGTTTTGAGTTTTCATTTTTCCACCGTGGCGTTGATTACCAGCTTTTGTTTCCTTGTGAATGTATGGTGGACCTTTCCCACTTTTTGTGCACACCAACATGAACAAAGAACAGAAAGACATACCATAGAGTTGTGTGTCTGATCAGTGAAAAGCTGAAAGGGATTTGTTGTTCATAATATTAATAGTCACTGACACTAGATTAGTAATCCCTATTTCACAATGAAGTAGTTAATTTAGAAATTAGTTGGAAGTAAATTAAATATTTACTATAATAAAACCAGATAATCAAGATGTTGACATTTCACACTACTTCAAACAAAAGGTTAGGAAGGAAACTGCCATCAATACAGGAAAGAGCAATAACAGTAAACTTGAGAAAGCTAAAAATGTTTTTAAAAAAAGAATTTTAGAAATTTCAGTGGACAGTGACACTTGGTTAATGAAGACTGAATGTTTCCTTATAAGTTAATGGCTGCCATTACCATAGTAATTATGTTTCTCTTTTTTTCAAATAACATTTTTCTCCAGGATGTAGGTGATCATGGCTCTCCTCAGATTCCTTTTCTTTACTATCTGTGGAATGCGATGACTTCTTGGGAAAGCAAGTCAAGTGGTTTCCCATTCTTTACAGTTTTGAATTTCTGTCCTTCTCCTAAACTGGCTGCCACCCAAGGCTAAAGAGCCAATCTGCTCTGCTATTTTACCTATAGTTAGGGGTGAAGATATGGATTCATGTCTTTCTCAAAGACATTTTTGCAAAAATGAATTCTACTAATGAGGCTATAATTTGAACTCAGCGAGCTGATTCCACTTTCTGTGCCATAACCACTACACTACCTGCACATCGAATAGTAATAATCACTATTATTAATTTTTACTTAACATTAATGATACAATGGCTAAATGTAGGGCATCCAGCGAGAAAGAAACAAGAGTGTGTCTTCTTACTAGATTTATCCAAATTCTATAGCAAGGATATCTTAAGGGAACTGGAGATCCTATCAGCATTTATTATTGGTGGACACAGCAATATAAAATATGCAGATGACACTGTTTTGATGACATACACAGAAGGAAAACAACAGTCATTCTTAGACAGGTTAGTAAAAGAAAATAAGAAGGATTAACAATGAATCATAAGTAGACATTGGTTGTCAGCAAGAGATGTGAACTTGAATTGGAAATGTCAAAATTAAACAAATACAGAAGTTTAAATATCTGGTAATCGTTTTAACAGAGGATAGAACATGCAAGATACATTCAAAGTTGAAAAGAGAAATAACCACAACACTCTATACATGTGGGAAGGCACATGCACACACAAATATATAATGAAAGAAGGGGGGAAAAAAAATCAACTCTGCACCAATGAAAAGTGCATAAAATATTTTTTAAATCAATATAAAAGTGACAAAAAAATGAGAAAATAAACAGTTAATTGCTTGTATCTCCTGACGAGTGGATGGAGCGATTGCTGGAAGGTCTGTCTATGAAAGTCTAGAGGCGAGATGCTGAAAATATCAATCAGCTAAGTGACTAGTTTTTGTATCCTCTAGATAGAAACATAGAGAATCTTTGTGTAATATATATTATCTTACTTATTATAAAACGCAGATTGTGTGTGTCTGTACGTTTATATATTTGATCGGATTTCCTACATTTTTCAACAGATTTCAACAAAACTTCACAGGACTACGTAAAATTACCTTGTGGTGGTTCTGACAGCACCAAAAATTGGAAAAACACAATTGTTTTTGCATGAAATCAATTTGAAAACACGATTAAGAGGCATTAATGAAAGGGGAACAACTCATATTGAGTTATACTTATTAATATTGAGTTATCGAGTTATACTTATAAAACCCAGGTTGGTTGGTTGTGTGAGTGTTCGTTTATATATGGGATCGGATTTCCTACATTTTTCAACCGATTTCAACAAAACTTCACTTTTTTTTTAGCAGGTAGTGTTACTTATTTTCTTGCACACTTTTTTCTTTATTTTTACATTCAGAATGCTTTAAAAATTCCATTTGCAAGACAATTGTTTATAATAAAATTCTATTCAATCGTTAGACTCATAACGATTGAAAATGTTTTTGTGTGAGTTTGGGTTTGGGTTTGACAAATTCATAAAAAAAA